GCATAGTTGAATCCTCCTTCAGAATCAACAGATCTTTACTGAAAATTTATATCAATAAATTCCATGATGTTTGCCAGACGTCCCAACAAACGCATCCATTTCAGTACTTGCATAGTTCCTACTAGACGTCCCAATAGGTACAAGCACCTGGCTATAAGGCCCCATCAAATCTTATTAATTATATTTATTATGCTTACCTTTTTATTGTTTATGAGTTTTTGAGCGATATCCCGAATTTCTTGTGATATACACAAATTATCAATAATATTTTGTAGAGTACTAAAAAATAAGAAATGTGCTGTATCTTTATTAGCGAACTTATAATTATCAATTATAAGTGAGATGTACTGATGGAGAGACCAGTTTTCATACGAGAAAAGCTCAAAGTATTTTGTGTACGGGATACAGTTACTTGCGGATAAATATCCTCGAACGTCAATGGTAGAGGTGGTAGCAGACATGATAAAGCCTATATTTTAAAAACGTCGAAAATAAATGTATTAGGAAGAGACGCGTAACATTACGTGTAAGTTTTTACATAGATATGCAGGATGTATGGGGTGCTAATTAAATTTGGTAATCGGTGTATCGCATGACCCGATGATGCATGCAGATTCTATTACATTCGAATTCCTTCTATGGTACATATCATATGATAGGTTAATAATTTTAGCGTAGATGCCAAGTTACACAAGTTATTACTTACTATAAACTGAAGAGGTGGAACCTCATTGCTTTGCAATAAATATATCGTGATAAAATTACGTGTTAATATCATAGTTAAAAATGGTTCGTTACTGACATCTGCTTATGTTAAAATTCTCACAACTATTTACCAGTGCAATTTATGAACCGTTTTGATACTTATATCCGAGAATGGAGCATATGTCTGAAACACATGTGGTAATTACAGGCCATTTGTTGATTTCATATGTTCTGTCAATCGTCATAAACAGTCGTACATAACTAGTTAGAGTCTCATTGCTTTGCAATATCTACACTATCAATTCTATATAAATATAGAGACACTAGCTCTGCTATAAATACCAATACCCGAACTCAAGATACTTTACTTTTCTATACTTCACCACACCACAAAAATACTTTGCATCCATCATATGATATGCGTGTCAAATTGTCACAGATATGTAATCAAACCTAGCTCAGATAATATTTTCATCATATAACTTCTGAAACTCTTCACAGCTCTAAAGAAATATGTCTCGTATTTCTTGGTATAAGATCAGGAGTTATACAATCTGGCTCTTTAGGACACTTCTTTGAAGCATATCGACAAATAGAAAATAATTTTGAATCGGATCTGAGAAATAAAGCGTTTCTATCTAAGTTGAATACTAAAGAGCTAAAAGATGAAGAGCTAGAAAGATTAGCAATGTTCTCAACAGTAGATAGTCTTGACTGTGCCAGCTATGCTAATTCTATATCCTTATATATCGAAACAACTTCTTTATTTTTTAAGTGTAAACCTAAATCAACAAAAAATGAATTCAGATATAATCATATATATTGAACCAAATCTGATAGGTCAAAATACCTCTAAATATACTTAAATCTCATATAATCGTTAAATATGTCCAGAGCATATCATAATATAAATAGAAGATTCGCAATAACTGGTGGGCATAATGTACTTAATAGAGTTATTGATACTGAGAGGCCTTACGATTTCATTAGTATGATCTTTAAAGGGGAAACACCTATTCGGTGAGCCTGTCGTGTTAGGATCACTCTTCAAGATTTAATAGGTCCAGGAGGAACAAGATCTACATACCACGAGCTATGCCTCCACGCTTCATATATTCAAGGTGCAAATTTTGATAAATATAATTACAGCAGAGGTAGACTATATGAGGATGGTACTGCAATATGTTTTTGTTGTATGAAACTTATGCACATCAATGTTAATTTAGGTCCAAAAGCAAGTCAATTCGATTTAATGAAAGATCATTATGATTATGAATGCTCAAGACCACAATCCGTTTATGATTCCTCAAGACCATGAACTGAGTTTGGGTGTGCAAGGGTCATACAAAGACTTTGGAGAAATTTAGAGAAAGGGAGTCATCGGATGCACGACTTGCCTGGAACAATTTATCAAATGATAATACTCCAAATGATAAGAAATTTCTAGGTTTAACGAGACATAAAGTGAAAAATACTTAGACTCGAGAACAATTTAATCAATGACGTACTAAATAGATTACAATGTACAAACAAAATAATTCTAGTATTCCTGTATATATTTATACTAAAAAATATGAAGAATATTATATTCCATATAGTTGGACAGATTGTAAGAAAGACCAATTGCGAGTTAGATTCCGAAAGCGACTTTTAGAGCTTGAAGCATAATATTTATTTTTTCAATTAATTTATTTATTAGCCAAAGGCTTGTTCACGCTAATGTATAACTTATTTATGTATAACTTATTCATATATATCTATTTATCTCGTTAGCATATGTTTCATAAATTTATGTAATTCTAAACGTACAGCATGTATTCGATCGAATTATAGTTTAACAATAAATAAAATGTATAAATATAATAAACTTATCTTTTTTAAAAGGAATTAACCAATTCGTCATGTAAATTCATAGAGTCACTTTCTTTGTATGCGCGTAAAGTTTTAGGTCCAGTGGGAACAGTACCATAACCCCCAGATACATTAGATCTGAAGACAGTTTCAGTTGAATTTCCTAAAGCCATTGTATCATCGGTATGACTTCGCCATTCAGGAAGAGATGACCCAGATATAGGTGAATTTTCATAAGTATGTTGCCAAAGAGTGTCTGGGTTCGATCTTTCTGTTGAAATCTGTGGAGGGGCAGAACTATAAACATGAATATTATATTGATCAGCTCCAGCAGATTTAGGTAACGTCTAATTCAAGTGTCATATAAAATCTTGTTTGTGTGAGAAAGTTAGGTTTTTTTGTGAGGGGACAGATCTTTCTGAAGTAGAGAGGTGTCTGATAGAATTAAAGAAACCTAGCCCTGATGTATGTTGTATATCATCTCCACTTCGAAGTGATCGAATTACCTCAGCGATATTAGCTAAATGTGCGTTAGAAAATGTATCAGTAATTAAGCTATCTTGTATCGCTTTCTCTGGATAAATGGCTGGTAGCATCCCCTTAGTCAGATAGGATTTTTGTAGAGAAGTATTTACGTCTCGATTCTGCTCCTCTTGTTGTTGTCTATAAAGAAATTCCAAATCAGTAGGTAAAATTGGTCCTCGAAATGTCCCAGAATGGGATGTTATATCCTGCAATGATAAATGCCTTTCCTGCTCTTCACGTTGCATCTCACTTATTGAGTAAAGGTCTGAAGTGAAAATTGGTTTCCAAAATGTCCCAATATGGGATGTTTTATCTTGCAATGTTAAATGCCTCTCTTGTTCTTCACGCTGCATTTCGTTCATTGGGTAGAGGTCTGAAGCAAGAATTGGTCTCTGGAATGTCTCAGCATGGGATGTTAGGTCTTGTAATGATAAATGCCTTTGTTGGTCTTCATGCTGCATTTCACTTAGTGAATAGGGATTTGATGGAAGAATAAGTTCTCTACTATTTTTAGGAATAGATTTTTCAAAACCAGATGGCAAAACTAATCATTGATCCTCCTTTTGTTCTTTAGAGTGTATAGCCGACATAGGTATGAGTGAAGCTCCTCCTGACTTGGTTAATCGGCATTTTTTATCTTTACCAAATTCAGTCTTAGTTTGAACCATTCCCTTAGTGGCGAGTACCATATACATATTGAATAGAATATGCCTAGTCTCATTAACGTCCTGCTGGAGACCCCACGATTGATCAGACTTCTGCAACATTATGTTTCTGTCTTTTGGAGGAGCGATATATAAACCAGTTATATTTGTATACTGTTGGAGATTCCATGATTGATCTGGCTTCTGTAACATAATATTTCTATCTTTCTTGGGGGTGCTATACGAACTGGGCACCTTACCATATTTTTGTACAGGTAATTTAGTTTCTCCCATAACATGCCATCACGGCACATAAGAAGGCGTGTTATTGTCAGAATTAGTATACTTATGAATTAACTTATTATATGGACAATAATCCTCACTGGAAAGTATTTTTTGCCACTCTTCAGGATTTCGCATTATAGTGCGCCCTGCATAATTAGTTTCACTAGGTGAAGTCACTTCATTAATTTTTCCTTCCTTTTGTGTAGAGAAAACGTGAGTATTACCCTTAAGTTGATTATGTATCTCTTTACGTCCAATCCTGATGGCTTGCTCTGTTCATGGCCTTTCAGGAACTTGAGTATCAGCATTAGTACCCATTCCTATAGTAAGACCAGTTTTGCGACGTTGCATTTGCTTCGAAATTTTATTAATATCAGGTCCAACCTGGTTCCCTCTAAGATCGTTTCCTAAAAATCCTAACGATAATTCAGGGTGTCGTATTGGATCAACAACTTGACCCCGAGAGCTATGATATCGCAGATTCAAGACAGATTGCAAATGCGTAGGGTCTTTACGTGATAGATCACTTTCTAACCAGGATTCTTCTAACCTCCGATCAATGATCTGCCTCGCGCATAATCAGTATAATAATCTTCTTGATCATGGAAAGCGTCCACTTGGGCAATGGCATCAATAAGGAGTGGATCAGTTTTTTCCATTTTCCTATTCAATGCAGATGAAGGTATGCCCCCATAAGGTAAAGCTTGCCTATTGCGAATACAGCGAGTAATTTTTATACCATACATCAGAGGTATACAATAAATTATAAAAGATATTATATTTCGACTTGCAAAATTTTATTAAGTATATCAACGGCATTACGTCAATTTGAATCGGTTGTATATTCAATCAACATGTCTCGTAAAAAGAATAGTGAATCAAATTATCAATTAATATACATATAACAGATTTCACACTATTTTTTTGTTTTAAGCTACAAACTTTTCAGGATTCTATAGAATTCAACAGAATTTTTGACTCGGTGTATCAAATGAAAT